AGTCAGCTAACAGACCAATACAATTCTTTTCATTCCTTAAGAAATCTTTTGTTTCGAGGATAAATAATACTCCAATTATTTTAGAACATACACTGCTCACCCCACCTTAGAAAATCAGTATTGAGGGTGTGATTAAGTTGCTGTCTGAAATCCAAATCACAAGGCAGGTAAGAAATAAAAGTCTGCTGAAACAGATAGCAACACCCATTTTACATGCATCAATTTCTGTGACGGGTATTAGTGATGTAAAACATATTTGCCATGTGACATCAGACCAGGTCTGGATCAGTGATTGGGATAGAAATTTCATCTTGTCCAACAAAGAGGGTGAAAAACTACATCATCTGACAGATATAAGTAGTCACTATGGAGTGCGTACTATGAGTGCCTCAGGTGATCTCATTTATATCGACAAGAACCATAGCATCAACAAATTGTCTTATGATGACAAAAAAATATCTACACTAATAAAGTATACAAATCCATGGATATCACGCTGTGTTTACTCCTCTCCATCTACTGGAGATCTATTGATTGTAATGTATAATGCTGATGAGTATACAGCCAATGTTATCTACTATCACAACACAGGACAACACATAACGTCAATATCACACGACAGCACAGGTCAGGGACAGTATAGAGAACCTATCTACATCACAGAGAACCGCAATGGAGATGTTATTGTGTCTGACTGGAATCGTGGTGTAGTGGTGACAGATCGAAGAGAAAGACACCGCTTCTCATACAGGGGAGTCCTCCATCAGCATCACGTATAAATATACGACCAGGAGGAGTCTGTGCGGACGCGTTATTACACATCCTCGTGTATGATCTTAAAAGCAACTCAGTACATATAATTGACAAGGACGGGAAGTTTCTGTCACTGATACAGACACGACAGTTGGAGATGACTAGACCATAGAGTCTGAGTTATGATGATAAAACTCACTGCTTCTGGGTTGGATCATGGAATGATAACAAAGTGTGTGTGTATAGATATCTAAGCAGGCAGAACTATGATACTACACTGTAAGATAACAAACAACTACAATAGTCAAAATTAATTAATCAATACAGATAAAGAGGGTTAACTAGAACCAGAGAACGTATCGGGTACCGTTACCATGGAAAGGGTTCTACCAACCCGGTCACACATGTTGAAACCCCTTGTCTAGACATGGTAAAGAAGAAATCCGTAGTTAACTCGATTTGAAATCCATGACCGAATAATTTCTTTAAAAACCCATGGAGATCCGGGTTAGAATAGGTCCTCAGTACCCCCTTGCTTGTCGTAAAAGGCGACTAAATGGGGCGGTCCTTCGCATGAGACCGTATAAACCGAGGCCCCGTGTCACAGCAGGTGTGGCACGATAAAGATCCCTCCCTGCTCAAAGGCGCAAGTGCCGAGCATAGGCCTAAATTTGCAGCCCTTCACCGGCAATGGTGACGTCTCCAAATCAGTGAAATATTCTGGAGAGGGACGTTAAACAGTATACAATCAATTAATCAATCTTAAAAAAGAAAACACGGTGAGCAGCTATTTAATGACTTGCAAACATCTATCACCATTGAAATTGTCCATAGAATTGCTGATATGTTGTCTTCAAAAGAAATTGTTGATACCCTGTTTTGTCAAATTAGTACATAATAGTCTACTTCGTTTAATAAATTTTTCACAATTAAAATGTTCTTGTGTATTGAATCAACTTAATAGAGAAATGAAGTAAAGGGAGGCAGTTATGGTACATACATATGGCGTTAAATTGAATTAAAAAAAATTCTAGTAATCAATTTTACCCAAAACTTAAGTAGTTTGATATTAATGTAATTTTCTCTTAAAACATCTAAATATGAAAATATTCATCATAGCAAGTCTAGTCTTATGCAGAATTAATGAGGATGCATTGAATACGGTGAATTCATTTATTTTCATAGCAGGGTAATTTGTTGGGGTTGGAGAGGACCCACAAATTTACGACTACAACAAAATGATTCTATTCATATGCATAACTACTGAACATTTCTTCATCAATGAAATTAAATCCCATGAACCCATAATATTTCATCAAACCCCGCAGTTTTGAGCCCTCGTAAATGAGTGATTTTACCTTAAACAGGTTGAGACCAATCTCCAAAATGGGATATTATAGTCCGTTTTGGATATAATATCCCAAATAAGCTATAAATTTACAGTGCAAAATTTTTTATTTTGGCAATAAATATCATAAATCCGCATCAGTACACTTAAAAAGGAATAACTTTTGGTTGACAAGTTTTCCTGTCTGCCTATTGTTTAGGAGATTGATCCCTCAGAAGTTCCCTTCTTGGGAATCAATCTTAAAAACTGTATGGTTGCAGAAAAACTTGCTTACCAAAAGTTATACTTTTTTAAGTGGGGAAATATATCAACCAAGAAGTCTGTGTTATGACGACAAAACTCATCTTCTCTTTGTTGGGTCGTTTGAAGATTACAAAGTTAGTGTATATAGATATCTAAAGAGAAAGTTGGACCATCTAAGTTTTTGAACTTGTATCTGATGCTTTTGACTCTTTGTCAATAAGATATGTTCAAACAGTTTTCAAATGATCAGGTTCAATAACAATGAATGAACTGTATCGTTGTTACATTACATATGAAACCTCTGTTCTTTAAATGTTCACAAAGATTAAAAATAACATTAATACCTTCTGTAGTAACTTTATTTAAATTAATCCTGGTTTAAATGGTCGCTTGTATCATGCCAGCATGTTTATTTTCGATCTTTGTAGCGGAATTTTGCAATTTATGTTGTAATATTTTCGCTACATGTATATCCAAGCTTTAATGATTTTTTGTTTATCAAAAATTGCCTTGTATTAATATTATTCCTTTGGATATTTGTTATTTTCGTGTTCCTGTTTTGAAAATACAGTTCAAAAAACCGATAATGTGAAATTCAAAGCAAAGATTATTTCACAATGACATCGACGAACCAAAACTTCTCCATCAGAAAACTGTTATGCAACTGAATTTAAATGTGAAGGTAAGAAAATGATTAGCACTTGTAGATGTCACACCTTAAATTTTACAACGTTAACATTTTTTTTTTAATTTAAGAACTATTGATAATTTAATGATATCGAGAAAAAAAAATCATGATAGATGCTGTTTGATTTTATTTTATTTGAGTGATATCAAGGAAGCATCATACAGATTAATTTTGACCGTTTATATCTAGTATAAAACTGCTTGCAAATAAATCATGGTTTACTGCTCTCATTAAGAAAAGAAATGATAAGTGCATGGCATAGAATGCATCAAGATTCAGCCTGATAGCTGGTCACCATTTTCATAACAGAAAATATGTTCTTTCATCATATATATTAATGATATACCCGGTATTAACACATAATACATGTTATACGACTAAATTTTTTTAATTATCAATGAAAGGGAGAAAATATGTATTTTACGAAAACCTTTAAAACAAACAACGGTGTAGAAAATATCTCGAAATCCTAAATTTTAATTTGAATGTACTACTCATGTAACATTGGGCTTAATTTTTAGACACTGACAATCACTTTCTTTTGTTTTATTACACACTTAGTAATAAATAAAGGTTTTTTGCATATGCGATATGGCTGACGTCACAATAGCCGTATCAGCCCTGCAGGGCTGATATGGATTTGCGGGGCTGATAACCTATATCAAAAGGTTATATAAAGGTTAGTAAATTAAACCACAAAAACAGTACCGGTATGTGTGATCACACACAATTTTTGGTGGGCTCATATTCTCTTAATTTTAAATTTATGAAAATAAGGTTAATCTTTATTTACAAATACATGTAATAGATTGTTTTAAATTACGGATCGAGTGCATTGAAGTAGAAGTTGAAACAAATCCAAATCGTATGAGACAATAGATCATGTATATTTCTGTAAGAAGTCCATGCATGATTATATACTTATTTTCTCCTCAACTTAATGTGTTCTGTATTTTATTACTAAGTATGTAATAAATATAATAAAACATACCCTTTTCCACATCACATCCTGTATCAGCCCTCGGGCCTTCGGCCCTCTGGCTGATATTGGTGTCTCGGGCTGATACAGGATGTGATATGGAAAAGGGTATGTATTATTCTCTATGTAATACATACTTTTTATCTATATTCCACTTTTTTGTTGCTTTTTGAGGCTGATATAGACATAAATGTAAGGGTACTGGAATTCATTTTCTGACAATGCGTGTTATATTTTCCCTTTTTGGATTCTCTGTTATACCAGAAATGTAAACAAAGTATCGTATTGGAGGAAAATGCAGTAAAAGTGGCGGTGGAATTTAATGGTGTATACTTCATACAATTCTCATAGTAATAAGGGTTATATATACAAATGCCAATAACATTATATGAAATAAAGAACCCTAGGAATTAATTACTTTTTGAAAATGCTTTCCTATAACTTCGATCACTGCTTACTTGTATTGTTTATAAGATCTTTAGTTAAAGATGTATAATTGTTTTCAACTGTAAACCTTTACTAAGTATTATTTCTCCATATTTATTACTTAATGAAGAATTAACTAATATTTTCCAAACCTATTTCATTTTCCAAGATTAGGGTGGAAAAAAAATCAAAGAATTATCCACTTTTCTAAGCATGTAATATGATATTAAATCTCTTCCATATAAATAAAATGTTCATATTTGAGAAACTACTTCATTTGAACTTTCTGTATAATGTATCATTTTATTATTTTAGAGAATTGTTCATTTTGACTTTCACCTTCCCTCAACATGGACACTCTGGGATTCAGCAACTTGTGTAAAGTATTGCCGTGATCGGAGTGTCAGAAAGACAATAACCAGACAAGTTAAAAATGTTAAAAAGTCAAAACAAATATTCATTTTGTACATGATTTTCACTTTAAATCAATGTCTTTTCAGGAGATTGTTTTTCAAAAGATCTAGATCCTTCACTTAGCACTATTTCACTTTACCCTTCGCATCATGGACCTGAAAGGACTAATCACCCAGTGTAAAGTACGGCAGTGTTCAGAGTGTCAAAACAAAACCGAACACTACTGTAACACGTGTAAACATGACCTGTGTCTACAGTGTAAAGAGAGACATTTTATTGATCTGGATACCACATATCATAATGTTGTGGTTTACCGTGAGAAATATAAATTTGTCTTAAAACAAGAGATATGTGAAAGACATCCAGGCAGAATCTATGAAATGTTCTGTAATTCATGCCAATTGCCCGTATGTGACCATTGTACAGAACACAAGGAGAGTAAGCTATTCGCTGCTTGTTATCAAAGTACAGAACAAAAAGAACATAAAATACATGACATTAGAAAGGCATATTATACAAACCGTCAGCAAAACAGACAAATCATTTCTAGAATCAGAGGTGAGGATCTTTATACCAGTTGTCTTATCTTATCAGAAATCAGATATGATATAAAATTTTGTCATAAAGAAATCTTCAACTATCGAAAAGAAATAGCAGGAAAAGCCAAGAGACTTAAGGACCTTATAAACACTGTGATCTGTGAGATAAAAATCAGACATAAACGTAAGATTCTTAAATTAAAACAACAGGACAGAAAAATGAACAAGCACCTTGTCAAAATTGAAAACTATGAACAAAGATCTGAAGAGTCAGCAAACAGACCAATACAATTCCTTTCATTCCAAAAGAAACCCTTTATTTCGAGGAAAAGTAACACTTCAAATCTTTTGAAACATACCCTGCTCTCCCTTTCCAAGAAATTCAATAGGGAGGATGTGATTAAATTGCTGACTGAAATCCAAGTCACAGAGCAAGTAAGAAATAAAAGTCTAGTGAAACTGATGTCTCCACCCGTTTTACATACAACGATTACTGTGACGGGTATTAGTGATGTTAAGCATATTTGCCATGTGACATCAGACCGGATCTGGATCAGTGATTGGGAGAGCAATCTCATCCTGTCGAACAAAGAAGGTGACAAACTACATCATCTGACAGATGTAAGTAGTCACTATGGAGTGCACACGGTGAATGCCTCAGGTGATCTCATTTATATAGACAAGAACCATAACATTAACAAACTGTCTAATGATGACAGAAAAATATCTACACTAATAAAGAATACAAATCCATGGATACCACGCTGTGTCTACTGCTCCCCCTCTACTGGAGGCCTGCTGGTCGTAATGTACAATACTGATGACTACACAGCCAATGTTACCCGTTACAATAACACAGGACAACATTTAACGTCAATATCACACGACAGCACAGGTCAGGGACTGTATAGAGAACCTATCTACATCACAGAGAACCGCAATGGAGATGTTATTGTGTCTGACTGGAATCGTGGTGTAGTGGTGACAGATCAAAGAGGAAATCATCGCTTCTCATACAGGGGACCTCCATCAGAAACACGTATAAATATACGACCACGTGGAGTCTGTACGGACGCGTTATTACACATCCTCGTGTGTGATCTTAAAAGCCACTCAGTACATATGATTGACAAGGACGGGAAGTGTCTGTCACTGATACAGACACAACAGGAGATAAACAGACCACAGAGTCTGAGTTATGATGACAAAACTCACTGCTTCTGGGTTGGATCATGGAATAATAACAAAGTTTGTGTGTATAGATATATAAGCAGGCATGACTACACAGGAAGATAACGAAGAAGTACAATGGTCTAAGTTCAATTAATCAACACAGATTGAGGGTAAAATAGAACCAGAGAAAGGATGGGGTACTCTGAAAAGGGCTCAGTCTACCCTGTCACACATAGAAAACCCTTGTCTAGACTTGGTGAAGAAGAAATCCATAGACAGCTCGATTTGATATTCCATGACCAAATAATTTTTAATAAAAGAAAAAATTGGTGAGCATTCATCTAATGTTGTTTTTGCAAGCATCACCATTGAAATTGTTCATGGAATTTCCGATATGTTGTCTTCAAAAGAGATTGTTGAAACCCTTGTTTTGTCAATTAAGTAGACAGTAGTCTATTTTGTTTAATAAACTTGACACAAAAAACATGTTCTTGTGTCAACTTACTGAGTAGAGAAATGAAGTATATGGTGGCAATTAAGGTACATACATATAATGTTAAAGTGAAAAAGACATTTTTAAGTCATCAATTGCAATTTTACCCAGAACGTAGGTAGTTTGATATCACTGTACTTTTCTCTTAAAACATCTTAATATGAAAAATATTCATCAGAGAAAGTAAAGTCTTATTTGGAATTAAAAGGGATACCTAATAATTGAATACTGTCAATTCATTAATTTCCGTAGGGGTTTAATTTTCTTTCCATTGGAGGGATGAAGAGACCAATGAATTTATATGTCCACCACAAAATGTATATTTTCACATACATGACTACTTTTACAGTTCTTCATCCATGAAATTAATTCCACACGAACCCATAATATTTCATCAATCCACGAAGATTTGGGCCCTGAAAAATGTGTGATTTTACACTAAATACAAATTTGTAAAAACGGTGCTACAGATGCATACCAAAAGTGAAGATAATTTAATTTTATATTCCATTGAAAACATCATTTTGTAAAATATATAGAGAAAAAATAAAATTATCTTTCCTTTTGACACACATCTGTAGCATAAATTATCTATAAATGCAGAATGTAGCATGAATTATCTATTAATGCAGAATTAAATGCCATAGCAAGAGAATAGTTCTACATTTTATAACATGAGTTTAAAAAATTATGATAAATTATGTTTAATTAGAATACAAAATGATGCTTCCCAATAAGGGAAAAATTAGTTGCATAGCAAAGTCCTGGTATGACCAGCCCTTTTCCTGATTACCGTGATTTGAAAAAGAAAATCTTGCACAACCTGAGAATAAAATACTTTATAAACAAATCAATTTCCCTGTCGTTTTATGACAACGAAGAGTACAAGCTTCTCTTAACTGAACTCTTAACTGAACTATATAAAATTTGGATTTCAATTAATGGCAAATAAATGACTTCATTCTAATCAGTATTTTTCAAGAAACACTCATAAAAAAAACAGTCTTCTTTTCATAACACATATCATCAGAATTGTCAGTCATTAATAAATTCGAAATTTCGACTGATTTACTTGAATAATTCATTCATATTTAAATTATTCTTGTTCAGGTACCTGTATTATTGTTGCATACACTTAATCAGACAAAACTATAAATCTTCATCAGCATCATAATTTAATTGATGAGAAACATCTTCATGATTCAAGAAGTATTGTCTTCAGCAAAATCAGACCACTGGCAAGAATAATACAGGAAAATTCATATCAGGTAATCCTTCTATTAAGATGTTTCAATATACATTTTTGCAGATAAGAGGTTCAATACACATATAGCACTTTTAATTTGATGGCAATTCACTAGCAAGTTAAAAGAAACACCCAAGAGGTCACTATAGCAAGACAGATTAAATATTGAGGAGTCTTTGTAGAAACTCTCTCTCTACTGTTAAAGGCTTCTCTATGTTATCATAGTCACTGGAGCGAAACAGATTTAGATTTGAAAGTCCACAGTGGAGTGGCCATCTCCCTTTGTACCCTCTCTTCTCTGTATGTTAAAGCACAGATTAATATTTGAGTGAAACATGTGAATCTTTTTAAAGGTTTAGAAAATAAAATCACTGAATGTCAGTTTTCACAGATTGATAACTTTATACACAATCATGTAGCACTTATGTTTTATTGGCAGTTCATTGGCATGTTTTAAAATAACATTCAAAAACAGTCACTAGAACAAAACAAACTAAGAAATGAAGATCAATAGGAGGGCTAGACATCTCCCTGGGTATCCTCTCTGCTGTTTTGTGTAGCGCGGTCACTGGAGCGAGACAGATTTAGATTTGGAGGTCCACAGTGGAGTGGCCATCTCCCTGGGTACCCTCTCTACTGTGATGTGTTCCTCTGTGTTGTCTGTAGCCTTGTAATGCTGTAGTAATTCCTGTATGGCCAGCTCTTCTATCTGTTCAGAGAGAAAGGAAAAATCTTAACATAACTGCTGATTACAGTGTTAGCTTGTCTGACAATACAGTAACGGTAGCTTTGAAGTTACTTCATTCCAAGAGACACATTGTGTAGACTTCCTAGAGATTCTTTAGCCAAGAATTTAAAATCCAAAACATTGATATGATATTCTTTACCTGTATCAGCCCCAGTGGTTTACTGGTCACCTGAGTCAGACTCTCACATTTCTGTATCTCTTTACCTGTATCAGCCCCAGTGGTTTACTGGTCACCTGAGTCAGACTCTCACATTTCTGTATCTCTTTACCTGTATCAGCCCCAGTGGTTTGCTGGTCACCTGCGCGAGACTCTCTCGTTTCTGAATCTCGTCCTGGACAATGTCAGAGAAGCTGACCGAGGCCGCTGTGGGGGACTGGACGCTCGGGGCCCGGCTCCAGGGGTTGTCTACAGACTGGGGGCTGGTAGCAGGGGACTCATCCACTGACCTCTGACCGGGGGGCTTCTGTGGCCCTGAAGTCTGGGGGAGTCCCCAACTGCAAATACAGGAAATTCGAATATACATGTAACAAAGTCACTGGGATATATAAAATAACTTCAATATTTCTGTAATTAGTTATTCTGTATAAGGAATTAGTACAATTTGTATAGCTTGGGATTCAAGATATACCGGTATTCATTATATCCGTAAATTAAAAATATCCATGTTCATACTAAACGAGCTTTACTGTATAAATCTAACTGAGGTATTAATTCTAAACCAACAATAATACAGATATTTAAAAAAGTAAATTTTTTAATAGAAATAATATAATAATATTATGCATTTGATTTTGTTTTTTAAATGGAAAAATTCAGAATGGAAAATGAACCTGAGGACATGTTTGTGCGTTTTCTGGGGAGTAGTCATTGTAGCATGTTGTTTTGTCTGAGAGCTCTGGTTCCTGTCCTCTGTTATCAGATCTCTGAAGGAAGTCACTGTCTGACTCATACCTCCCCTGAAACCCATTAAAAATACATGTTTATATATCGCCTAGAATGGGTGTGACTTCATAATTTGTAATTAATATACATGTATATATTGCAAATGTCAAGAAGGAGTCTTAAAAATACTAAAATTTACACCAAGTCAAGTTCACAATTATATAAAAATTGCCTCCTCCTCAATAAACCCAGTTTTAAAGTGAACAATGAACTCTGTTGCTTTTATCAAAATCCACAAGAAAAGTTACTGTTAGTACCATGCTGATTTGGCTGTGGGTGTGTGTGGAGCCCCCTGGGGGACGGGGAGGGGCTGGGGCTCCTGACTTCCCTCCCTGATTTTATTCTGTGATTTCCTCTCCTGGTTCTGCTGTCTCTTCACATCTTTCCAAGAGAACTTCTTGTTTTTGAGCTGAACTCTGAAATAAAATTAAAACAACTCTGCAGTAGTGAACAAACCTTTGGTATTTCATCAAAAACCCTTTCTATATGTACCTTTGTATAATCACTCATAGAATTGAGTAAGTAACTTAACATACACAAAAAGCAAGGCATTCTTTTTTCTAATGCATGTAAATGTATAATGCAAACACAACAAGTAATGTTTTTTTATCAAAGTTGAATTTCTATTAAAAAATATATGCTCTCAAGGTGTATGAAAATTTGAAAGATATGCATTTGCTGTAAGTTTTCAATAATATACTGACTTTTGTTGCTGACTGGATTTTTCCTCTTCCATGATTTCTTTGAGACTAATTCCTGGGGGTGATGTAGCAAAGGATTTTTCTGAGAAACTCCCAGGGGAGACCAGTGGACTTTTTGGTGCAGCTGTCCAGGATCCATGATGTGACTCTAGCTGATGACTTTTTGTTGTAGGAATATTTATTGATTCTGAAGGTTTGCTTGTTAACTCCTAAATTGAAATAGTATACAGGTCATTTATTTCATTTATACTAAAGCTCTCACAATTCACATTTATCATTACATGTAATATAACTTCTTTCAAAAGCAATCAAATGTAGAAGATGGCAGAAAATTTTATAATAATGGTTCCCCTAGATAAAAATTTCAACATCTGTAATGTATTTCACTGCTGCATTTTGAAATCTGAATTACCCAAACTGTTCTTATCTATGAAAATGATTTATTACTTTTTCAACAAGGATTTAAGCATTTTGATTTTTTTCCTAAACACAGTGTACCTCACAGCATAATACTTATACTCTTCAGGTAGAATTATTGTTTTATTAGGCCTACCTTGACTTCACAGGGACTGACTGCCAGCTTTTGTTCCTCCTCCTCATCTGACACCAGACTTTTCTCAGAGCTGATGGAGATCTGTCTGTCTGTCCTTCTCTCTCTCCTGTCATCTGTTCGGCCATCTCTCCATCCTTCATCCTCCGACACACTTTTGACCCTGTTCCGTCTCTTTCTGGACTTTGATTTTCTCCCCGCGGAGTCCCCCGTCTGTGCCTCAGTGATCTGTGATGTGTCCTCCATCAGCTCCTCAAGGAAGGATTTAGAGGGACCGTCTAAAAATGGAGTGATGACACGTCTGCTCATAGATGGAACCTGTCAAAATGCATAAAAATTATAAAGTTGTCAACTTGTACTATATACTTTGTCACATTTCAAATATTTAAAAAGTGACAAAACCAAAGTAGTGTTTTCTTCTTAGACTATCGTTACTCACAAAATGAGCTGCTAATCTATACATTCTGCTTAATTAGACCTTGAAATTCAATCAACAACTCAACATTAAAAAGTTGCTCCCAGGACAAACCCAGCAATATGGCCTTTGAGTGTGGGGTTATATTCTATTACTATATGCATGTAACATCACAATTCAATTCTTAACACTGCAAGCTTTTTCTGTTGTCCTGTACCTTGTCATGGTAATATCTTGTAAGTTCAGCCATTACTTCATCACTGATCATGTCTAAGTACCTACAGAAAAAATACACACAATTGTACATGTAATGAGACATCATACTTATTTCCTTACAACATTCTTAAGTTTTTTTTTTATTTCTAAACCTAGTTTTAAATTGAATTGTCATATCTGTGACCGTTCATTTCTTAGACTATCATTTTGTGGTCAAACAAAAATAATAATTCAAATTAAATTTCAGTTCACTTCCTTTGGAATCTTACTGAATTAAAAAATACACGTATTTATAATGCAAAACTCATATTAATAGTACATGTATTTGTACAGTTAACTGTAGTGAGAGACAAACCCACCTTCCCTCTAGTATGGCGGGTAGGTTGATTAGAATGTACTGTTGACACACAGCCTTAAGTTGTTCAGCATTGTACACAGTGGAGAACTCCAACATCTCACCTACATTCTTCATTGTCACTGAATAAAAAGTTAATATTGTCAATTATATTAATATGTTAAAACTTCTTTGTTTAAACTACCATATGATCCCTATTAACTGCCCCAGGGGCTTAGAAAATTGCGAAAAGGGGGTGGTTATTTTAATATTCTCTTCCTAAAATTTAATGTCATATTTTAATTTCAAAAAATCTTTTGAAAAAAAAAATTTAATTCAATGAAACACTATACATATATCACATGGCTTCGAGGGTGACATACCAGAATATTTGCCCCGAGGTGACAGGAAAGCCCTGGAGTGTTATGTCACCCGATGCCGAAGGCAGAGGATGACATAACACTCCAGGGCTTTCCTGTCACTGAGGGGCAAATATTCTGGTATAATCGCCCGAGAAGCCATGTGGTATATGTTATATGACATTTTTAAAATTACAAAAAAAAATTAAATCATTTAAAATCGTTGAAATTTTCACAAATAATCCAGAAATGCTTTCATGACGTTAAGAATAAGGCTCCGTTGTTTACATTTGCTTAGCAACCGACGTCATAACATCTCGAACCCGAGCAAAAATGCGGTAAAAACACGCAAACGTGATCGAAATAGTGACATAACTGTTTCCGGCAAGGGTTGACATAACTGTTTCCGGCCGGACATAACTGTTTCCGGTGTGACTCGGCATTTTTCAGGGTTTATAGCGAAACTTATTACAATTGTGATATAATAGGAAAACTTATTCAAAAATGTTATATAAAAATATGTCCAACTTTACTTTAACACTCTTCCCCGCAGTCACACATTTTAACGCATATACCATTTCCTTTTTCTAACGCAAAATCAGGCATTTACCGTTTCCCCGCAATCACGCATTTTCACTCACTTTAAAAAGTTCATTTAATCTTCAATTTATTGCCAAATTCCAACTATTTTATACTTGCTTGATCCTCATAAAATAAAAAGTTATTTTCTAATTAAAATATTATTTCAGAATATTATTTACGCTAAACTTTAGAATTTTGTACCCTGCTATAAAGTGCTTGCGGGGAAATGGTAAAGAAATATTTCTATGACGCGAGGATTCATTGTATGTTGCTTAGCAATTCTGTAAGTTGTAAAGAGTTAAGTGAAGATAATCCATCCAAATTATACTAAATGATTCATTTTCCACAAAGAAATTAGATAATAGAAAGTTTAATTTTCATTTTCTTCAAATCTTGGCAGTTTTTTGATATGATTCTAGATGATTTTAATCACTGTACAGGGGGCCCTTATTTACTGACAATTAAAAATGACCTAGAGGGGCGCTTATAGGGGCAGGGGCGGTTAATAGGGATAATATGGTATTTTGATTAAGAACTTACCCAGCACACTCAGTGTAACCTCACAAATCTGGACAAGTCTGGTCACCAATAGCTGATCAGCCATCACTAAGACGTTACAGATCAACTCTAAATTCTCACTGCCTGTAAAACATAGAAATAACTCTCTGTAAATCATAGAAATAACTGTCTGTAAAATATAGAAATAAAAGTCATCACAAGGACATTACAGATCATCTCTAAATTCTCACTGCCTGTAAAACATAAAGATAAACTAGAGCCGAGCTCGTTGCAAAGCAACGAGTAGGTCTTCCGTCCGGTTTTGACTAGAAGTGCCGGAAGTGACGTGAACAAAAGAAAGCAATGAGCTAAGTAGTCTCTAGTGACTTTATAATTTCAATTTTGCATTAAAACCTTCAAAATAAGCTATTTTTGGCTACTTCCGGTTTGACCGGAAGTGACGTCGACGGACAGAAAGTTAAGATTTAAGCTTCCAGTGACATATGTTGCCCATAAACCTGTCAAGAACAGCAAAAATATGCAATATTTGACTACTTCCGGTTTGACCGGAAGTGACGTCGCCGGACGTATTTTGACGACTCCATTAGATTACGCTGGACATTTTGAACAACTTTGCTTCTTTGACGTATTACAAATTCTCAATACTTTTTGAGATATAAAGGAAAAACTTTTGGCCCCTTTTGGCCCTTTATTATAGGGGCCAGCCCCTTGTCGTTGATATCTTTCGAAAGATCGTAACATTCTCTATAACTTTTGTTCTATATGTCTTAACAAATTGTTAACATGTAAAAAGATATTGCAGAAAAGGTGTCAAAAATTTCTGAGTCCCTGGTAGAACTTTTTTCGAGCCATAGCGAGCGCCGACGTGCGGCACTTCCGGAGAAAGAGAATGGCGTGTGACAAAAGAGCACACCTTGCTCTATCATCGCTGAAAATCTTATGTTTCTGTCTTAAGGCATTTTCGAGAAAAATGATGGACAATGAGACCCCCTGAAAATCACTAAATCGCGGAAATCTCAAAACCGGAAGTGACGTCATCAAAACAAAAAAATTACTTTCAGCTTTGTTTGATGTTCTATCAGTCCTGAAAGTTTCATGAAAATCTATCCAGCCGTTTTCGAAAAATCGCGTGCACAAAATCTGTAAGAAAAAAAAACAATAATAATAATAACTAGAGCCGAGCTCGTTGCAAAGCAACGAGTAGGTCTTCCGTCCGGTTTGACCGGATGTGCCGGAAGTGACGTGAACAAAAGAAAGTAATGAGCTAAGGTGTCTCCAGTGACTTTATAATTTCAATTTTGCATTAAAACCTTCAAAATAAGCTATTTTTGGCTACTTCCGGTTAGACCGGAAGTGACGTCAACGGACGGAAAATTAAATTTAAGCTTCCAGTGACATATGTTACCCCAAAACATGTCAAGAACAGCAAAAATATGCAATTTTTGACGACTTCCGGTTTGACCGGAAGTGACGTCGCCGGACGTATTTTGACGACTCTATTAGATAATGCTTGACATTTTGAATAACTGCCATGCTTCTTTGACGTATTACAAATTCTCAATACTTTTTGAGATATAAAGGAAAAACTTTCGGCCCCTTTTGGCCCTTTATTATAGGGGCCAGCCCCTTATCGTTAATATTTTTCGAAAGATCGTGACATTCTCTACAACATTTGTTCTAAATGTCTTTACAAATTGTTAACATGTAAAAAGATATTGCAGAAAAGGTGTCAAAAATTTCTAAATGCTCGACAGGACTTTTTTCGAGCCATAGCGAGCGCCGACGTGCGGAACTTCCGGAGAAAAAGAGTGGTGTGTGACAAAAGAGCATATGTTGCTCTATCAACGCTGAAAATCTCAGGTTTCTGTCTTAAGGCATTTTCGAAAAAAATGATGGACAATGAGACCCCCTGAAAATCACTAAATCGCTGAAATCTCAAAACCGGAAGTGACGTCATCAAAACAAAAAAATTACTTTCAGCTTTGTTTGATGTTCTATCAGTCCTGAAAGTTTCATGAAAATCTATCCAGCCGTTTTCGAGAAATCGCGTGCACAAAATCGGTAAGAAAAAAAAACAATAATAATAATAATAAAAATAGTGGAAAAGAAACCTAAGAATAACAAGAAGGTCTTCCGCTGAAGACGGAAGACCTTAACTAGAGCAAAGCTCGTTGCAAAGCAACGAGTAGGTCTTCCGTCCGGTTTTGACCGGAAGTGACGGAACAAAAGAAAGCAATGAGCTAAGTAGTCTTTAGTGACTTTATAATTTCAATTTTGCATCAAAACCTACAAAATAAGCCATTTTTTGCAACTTCCGGTTTGACCGGAAGTGGCGACGACGCACGGAAAAATTACTTTTTATGCTTCCAGAGACATATGTAACCCAAAAACTTGTCAAGAACGGCAAAAAAATGTGTTTTTCGACTACTTCCGGTTTGACCGGAAGTGACGACGCTGGACGTTTTTTGACGACGCCAGTAGATTAAGCTTGTCATTTTGAACAACTTTGCTTCTTTGACGTATTACAAATTCTAAATACTTTTGAAGATATAAAGGAAAAACGTTCGGCCCCTCTCGGCCCCTGAATTAAGGGGCCAGCCCTTTTTTCGAGGAATCATCTGAAAGATCTCCGAATTCTATACTTTTTTTGTTCTACATGTTTTAACAAAATATTTCTAGGTAAAAAGTTATCGTAGAAAAAGTGTTAAAAATTTTGAAATTCTTGATAGGACTATTTTTGGGCCATAGCGAGCGTCGGCGCTTCGTACTTCCGGTGGTTGTGATATACAAAATTCACTTCTCCAAAGGTTGCTCTAGCATCACTGAAAAATTCATGCTTCTGCGTTGAGTGGTTTTTCAGAAAACCGCCGGACAAAGTGACCCTCTGAAAATCACTAAAACGCGGAAAACTCAAAACCGGAAGTGACGTCATCAAAACAAAAAAAAATAGTTCTAGTTTTTTTCATGCTCTATCAGTCCTGAAAGTTTCATGAAAATCGAGCGAGCCGTTTTCGAGAACTCGCGTGCACAAAATCGGTAAGAAAAAAAACAATAATAATAATAACTAGATGCGATCTCGTTGCAAGCAACGAGTAGGTCTTCCGTCCGAATTTTCGATAAGATGAGATATGACTTTGACCTTTGATAAAACATCATGGAATCATGCCTTTTCTCTTTTGATTAAATCCTTTTGATTTAGATAATATCATCAATGCGTACTTAATTTGAACATTTGCACATTCTTTTCCTTTTTTCTACTTTGAGAAACAACCAAAACCAATTAAAGAAAACTTGTAAGGAGACCTTGGATTATGAATGTAGTTTGACACAGAATTGCAACGAACCTACGACGTGACAATCCAAGTATCCCTACACATTTCATTGCTCCTTATGTTACTTTCGTTCAAGCAAACGCTCGGCTGCCTCTGTTAACCGCTATTGCGAAATGTCGGAATTGACAGAGACCGCCGCCATTTAGTTCCCGCTTCAGATTTTTGAATGTTAATATCTCGAGTTTGAATTTATAAATTTACAAACGAATTATATATTCAGCCTAATAAAAAATGTTTCTATCAACTATACTAATATCATTTGAAAATATTGAAAAACAAAAAAAATAAAGACGAGAGACTTTTGGCCCCTCTATGCCCCTAATTTGAAGGACTAACCCCGTTTATTTGATATCAAATGAAAGGTCTTACTATATTGCATATTTTTTATTATATATGTCTTAACAAAATATTAACCAGTAAAAAGATATAAAAGAAAACGTGTCAATTTTTGCGAGATGAGTATGAGGCTATTTTTCGATCCCAGGCGAGCGTCAATGCC